TACAGTACCATACGGGGACTTTTCATATCTGCATATTTAGCTACAGTAGAATGTATCTAGCAATATATTTAAATTTTACCTCAGAAATACATATGAAATGTGTAATTGTTTTCTTTAAAAAGATTAATATTACCATTATGAAGAAAGCACATTATACTGTGAGATTAAATTCCTGGCTTCAATAGGTATACATAATGAACTGCCAGCAGCTGAAATTGGAATGATTACATTTACCAGAATGGGATCCTCAACCCAGATTTTTTAGAATAGTTGCTCACAGTATGCCCTATACTTTTGTTTCTTGCCAGAATTTAAAAAATGAAACTTTCTGTTAGTGGTAAATTTGTAAGCTTAGGGCATGAAAATGTTTGAATTTGATATAAAAGAAGTTTTGAAAGGAAGATTAGTGGTTTAAACCAAAAAATTAGTCACCCTGGGAAGTTTAGCTGTGGCAATAGCAGAGTTCAGTAATGAAAGGTCCTCCTCCAGCTGATTGCCCATTCATGCTGTGATTCCAGATCCTCCCCACTGGACTTTCACCTGATTGATGGTGCTGATGATGGAGGCTTAATAAATTTCATCATCACTTTGCGAGAACATGTGTTGTCTGCTCAGACCTCCCCTGGTTTGTGGTTCAGTTGATTCCTCTGTTAAGTGGAAGCTGATCATTATTATTCCATTATTCATTATTGCTTTAAAATAGAGGGGGAGAAGGGCAATTTTCTGAGTAGATGGCAGTTGTTCTAGTTGAAGTTGTCATCAGCGCTCATAAGAACAGCTTTAAAGTTTGATGTTCTTGGTACCTTGTAGTTGGTTCCTAGCCTTTCTGCCATTAAAGGATTTCAATAAATTCCCAGTTTTCCATTGTGAAATAGATCATTAAAATCCACAGGAAGTTCCTTCTTTCTCATGTGAGAGAAGCTGGACCACAAGAAAAGCTCACCCTCAGGTTCTCATGCTTCTCTACTCCACATGAAAACTGCTTCAGCTCTTGCACGTGGCTCAGGTACCTTTTTTTGGTTGAACAGATTATCTTTGCATTGGACAGGTAAAACAAGTCTGTTTGTATGACATCTGAGAACTTTAAAAGTCCAGTTAGGGAAGTGACATCATCATAAAATTATGTTGTCTTGAGTCTGTTCTCCTTTGTATAGACTTTAAATCTTTATTATCTAGGCAAATGAGACTCTCTCTTTTATAAATGATTTATATTCTATTTAAAAGTATGTGAAAAATGGAGATTTCACAGTTTTATTTGGTAATTCATTCTAGGGTCTTAGAATTTCTTTGTGAGAATACAGAAGTATTTAATACTATATGTTTTCTTTCAGGAAAGGGGGATCTATTATTATTTAAAACAGATACACCCCTCTTAGCATTAAGTGAACCATTGATTTTTCCCCAGGTAAAATTTGATGACTAACTTGGACATAATTCAGTCATCCCCTTTTCCCCCTTATGGATCTTTTCAGGCTTTTTGGGTTCCATATAAAATATGTAAAGATCAAATGGTTTTGAGGGAGTCTGTGCACACTTGAATACTAATCCATCTTTCTTTTTCTCTTTCCAGAGCTTTTCTGTTTTGTTATCTTTATGCTCTCTTTAAATGTCCAGATCTTTTGGGTGTCTTTTAGTGGTAAATAGTCCTAATCTTAGAGAGGTAACTGTTATTCTGTGCATTGACTAATATATTAAAATATTTGAGATAATAATTTTAATTTAGATATTTGAAATTCTATAGCCTTGACATTGCCTCTTCTGTAGTAAACGACAGCATCTGTGCTCACCATGCTTCTGTGGTTGTTTAGATCATGTGACATTTGATTGAAAACTGTAGGAAAGTATTCTATATGAAGTTTTTTCCTGTGAGATTGTAGTACTTAGCATGATAATTTATCACATAAGTATGTTAACTGAATTCTATGAAGAATGGAATTGTTATATCTTTTAAATTAAAAACTATTATGTATTAAATTGATATGCTGTCAATTGAAAAACCAAATTCAGATTCTTGAGCTTCTCTCTTGAAGCTTTTTCCTTTCCAGAAGATATATTTTTATGACTTATGCTTATAGGACACTGGAACAATATCAAGTGGCATTTCTTTTTCTCTTGTTAAAGAGAGTCCAAATGGCAGGACATTAATAAAGCCTGCAGCTCAGTAAATCCCAAGGTATCAAAGCTATACCCATTGCAATTCAGCTTTATTACACTGCTTAGGTCATAAGAGTGGATGATTTTAGCTGAAGTACATGGCAAAAGGGAAATTGGATACTCAGTTGACAATCAAAACCTAAGAATGCACTTGAAATGCAGCTTAGAGTATGTCATGTGCCACAGAAGCATGTGGAACTCTCACAATAGGACCTGGATTAGCGGATCCTCCTTGCCTGAGTGGCATATTTCATTATAGCACCTAACACCCGAGTGTTTATCTTCCTGTGTGAAATCTATACCATAATCTTTTAAGGAACCAAAACTTTGTCTTATTCTTTGTATCCTCAGTGCTGATTATAGGGTCTGGTACATAGAATCAATGTGTTTTATTGAAAACCATGCAGGACAAGTACCTAAGATTCCTTTGGGCATCCCCTTCCTCATTACCCCAGCAGCTAATCCATCATTGAAGCTGTTTTACCACTGAAATATTGTTTTTAAATTGCCCATCTTCATTGTCTCTTCTACTACAATACCTACTGTTAGCTGTTGCCAGTCTACCTCTGCGTCACCTTGTAGAGCATTTTATCTGCATCAGTGTGGTGATCTCCAAACTGATCTCCAACTACTCCAGTCCCCATTTAGTTTCTTTTCCACATTATAGCTAGAATGATCTTGAGCTACACAAATTCTTGAAAGGCCTTCTGCGGGTCTTTTGTAGGAAGAGCTAATCACTGCCATGGTATTGACATTACTTTTGACTATGGTGTATTAACAGGATAATAATATCATCTGTCACTCACACAAGGACACTTTCTATGTGAAGTGGATATTGCTAATACCTGTGCATGATGGCATGAGCTTGCCCTGCAGAAGCTAAGCTCTGCATACCCTGCTTCATTTGCTCACTCTGCACTTGCAGTAAGGCTTGCTTTTTCAGTCTTTTGTACTTCCCAAGGTTACTCATCATGTTTGTTCCCACAACTGGGCCTGAGTGTTGCTTGATACTCTGACTCTTACTTATCATGCATTCAGTCTCATTGACTAGATTAAATTGCTTTACCATAGGATTTCATTGCACAAATACAATTTAACATTTTCTAGTTAAATGAAACTTAGTAAGCAGTTGCTACTAAAACTATACTGATTATGATAGAATATAGTGTTAAACAGAAAGACAAACTCTATGCAGTTGTCCCCTTGGTATCTGCTAGGGGTTGGTCCAGGGCTCCCTTACAGATACCTAAATCCATAACTATTCACATCCTCTCAGTCATATTAAATCATATCTAGATTAGGTATAATACCTGATACAGTGTAGATATTGTGTAAACAGTTGCTATCCTGTATTTAAGGAATTATAAGAAAAATGTTAGTTAAGAAAAATCCATAACTATTCACATCCTCTCAGTCATATTAAATCATATCTAGATTAGGTATAATACCTGATACAGTGTAGATATTGTGTAAACAGTTGTTATCCTGTATTTAAGGAATTATAAGAAAAATGTTTGCACATGTTTAAGACAGACTTTTGAAAAATTTCTTCAGTACTGGGGCTTCATTCTCAAGGCTTTTGCACTAAGCTGTTTCTCATCTCTTTTTCCTTTTATTTTGAGACAAGACCTCACTGTGTTGCCTAGGCAGGGGTTGAGTTTGCAATCCTCCTACTTTAGCTTTCCACAGTGCTGGGATTATGGGTGTGCACCACCATGCTCAGTCCAGAACAGGTATTTTTTTCCTAAAGATTTTTGATCTGTGATTGGTTTAGTTTGCAGAGAAGGAACCTGTGGGTATGATAGGCCTACTACATATTTAAATTCTATATACTGTATTTGATATTAGTGTAGGTACGACAGTTTCCTTTGCAGCTACATTTTTAACATAGTCTCAATTTTTAGTACTGTTATACTATTTAATGTTTAGTTTGTAAAAGATTTAGTAATGTTATTTAAAAGACTAGATTAGTAACTCCACTAATAAGTTATAAAAATTTTCAAGTTAGATATGAGTTCTTGAGAAGAAAATTCCACAATTGAGAATACTGTCACATTGAGAATCATAATATGTAGAAATTTGGGGTTCTGGAGCCAGATTATCTGGATTTAAATAGTGACTTAACTCCCAGCTAATATCTATGAGATTCATCATGTTATTGTGTGTAGAACAGTAAGTTCGTTCTCATTGCTGTATAGTATTCTTTTATGCACTGTGTAAATATATCATAGGTTTTCTGGCTTATATCCCATTTATAGTGAATAAAGGGGAATGGGTATGTGTGTGTGTGTGTGTGTGTGTGTGTGTATGTGTGCATAATGAAAGCTAGATTGTTAGTCATGTTATTTTTGTATGTATTAATCTTGCTTATCCTAGTCACTTTAAAAAATCAGCTGAAGGTTACATTAAAAAAATTCCTTTTTTATAGCCTTGATTGTTGCTTTGAACAACATTGATTGCAACTTTGAAAATAGATTGCCTACTTAAAACCAACAGCTTGCATGAGCAGATAATGCCTAGCATATCCCTTTGATAAGTGGTAGTAATCATAAATAGAAGGAACTTGTATGAACATGTCACATGCTTTCAAATGGTGGTATCATTGAGATTTTGGCCTTTTGAAATATCATCTGGGCTGTTACATGTTTCTGTTGGTTCAGGGACTGTTTACTATTTAATTGACCAAATAGCCATCATTTCTACTTTGTAAAGTTAGATCTATTGAAACAGTTGATTTGTGAATCCATTTCTTCTTATTTTCATGCATACTTCATTCAGTTTTTGTTCCTCTCTGTTTTAATGTCTCAGATGATGTTGCACCCTATTTTAAAACGGAACCGGGCCTGCCACAGATTCACCTGGAAGGGAATCGCCTGGTCCTCACCTGCCTCGCTGAAGGAAGCTGGCCTTTGGAATTCAAATGGATGCACAATGACCGTGAGCTCACCACCTACAGCAGCGAATATAAGTAATTGATTGCTTGAAAATCAGATTCCATTTCAGGTTTATTTGTTTAGAACACTTGCCTTCCTGGGTATAAAAACAATAGCATGAGAGATGATACTGGATTAGATTTCTGGTGTACTTAGGATTAAAGGACTGGATTTGAGTGTGTAATTAGAGTGTGATTTACCATTCTGATAATAGCTTGCATATTTACTTGGAAGTGTGTATCATTACTTTTGTAAAAGTAAGCCTGTTAGTGGGACCCATAGACAAAGAATGTTATAGTTACTTAGGAATTCACGTAGCACTTTAGGATGATAAATTTGCTTTTTTGTGATAATAGTTCCACCCATAAGTATTGTTCCTGTCTAACTGATATAAATACTTGAATAGAGATCTTTATGTCTGTAGCTTCCAGAACTCAGAGTAGTCACCAAAAACCATCGTGACTACATATTTCAAACTGGAATAGGAAAAGATGGAATCATGGGAGAGTAGGTGTAAGCACCTTCTCCTTATTTAGCAGCAAAACCCCATGTATCTTAAATGCCTGCCTCGTGTTGGGGGTTGTTCCCACCCTGGGATATGTGAACTTGATGAGCTGCAGGGGAGTATCACATGAGGGTGGAGCCCCCGGGCAGAAGTCCGGAGCAGAGCTGGAGATCAGGGTAAGTCTGAGCTGTGGCTCCGCAAAGGAAGCAGCCCTTGCACTGCCTTTTAAGCCTCAGTTTCTCCTTAGAAAGGCTTGAGGGTTTCTCAGATGTGTGTGGATAACCATCATTCTCTGTAAGAATTATTAGGTAAGCTGGGCACGGTGGCACAAGCCTGTAATCCCAGCACTCTGGAGGCTGAGGCAGGCGGATCCTTGTGAGTTCAAGACCAGCCTGGGGTACATAGTGAGTTCCAGGTCAGTCTCAACCTCATAGACCCTGTCTCAAAAAAAAAAAAATTGTGAGGTTAGACGGTGCAGTTGTGATTTGGATAGAGAGGTAATCACGCTGGCAAAGTGCAAGAGGCTCTAAAGTCAGCAAAAATCACAATCCTACCATCATATTTAAGTGACCTAAGGAGGAAGTGGCTGTGTGGAGGTTCAGCCAACTCCATAGGGGAATAGCCCATCCCCCCATCTACTTCAGAATGTGGTCCTTGTTCCACATTCAGCCTGCCCAAAATGTGTGTTTAAAAGTATATGTGTACTTTGTGGCCAGGGATTTGGCTCAGTGGTTCCACCACCTGCCTCTCAAGTACAATGGGCCCGAGTTTGATTCCTGGTACAAAAAAAAAAAAAAAAAAAAAAAGTATATGGGTACTTTTTCACTGATTGCCAGCACTTAATAGTTCTAAGCATTCTTATAAAATGCTTATTACCTGGTTTCTCTAGACTTCATGGAGACCTGGCTACCCCCTGCAGCTAGCACATGTAGCTGAGCAGTGCTGCCTCACCAGTCCTTATTTTCAATTCTCTAGCCCGGCTCTTCCTGTCACCCTACACTTAATTTGCATCACTTGTTTGTCCTTTAAGACAGATGAGTTTGTGGGCCTGCCATGATTTGCTTTTGGGGAGCACTTTTTCCACAATAATTTAGAGCACATTAGAATGAAGCAGTAATAGGTTGGAATCCAAGCTTTACTACCTATTAGCATTGTTGTGGCCCTGGTCAGGTTCTGTGTGCACTACCTTAGATCAAAACGATGGAGCTGGTCACATTTCATTTGTGGTGTTATAAACTCCAGTATATGTAAAGAGGCATGTTTTCTAGCACATAAGTAAGCTAATGAATTCAAAGAAACATTTATTATTACGTGACACTGTGGAACTTGGTTTGTTAGAAATGTAACAGTAAGAAACAAAAGTGGGAACTAAAAACAAGCACCATGTGTGAGTAATGGGTTTTGATGGTAGGTGACTTGGGCTCAAGTATTTGCTACTTAGCTCACTACCTCTTTGACTTTGGGGAAGTTAATCATTTTTGTCTCACTTTTTGCATATGTAAAGTGAGTATAATAAATCACATGGCTCTCATACAGATTAAATGATATAATGCTCTGTGTGCCCAAGGAAGGCAGGATTGTGGGGTTTCAAATGGACCAAGTTCTTCCTAGTGAAAAGAAGTAGTAATGCAGATAATCTGTCATAGGGACAGATTTAAAGTTGAGTGCCTGGCTTGGATTATGGAAAAGGAATTGTTTTCAAGATCTTCAATTTTATTATTTATATTTTTTGAAATTAAGCTGCCTAAGAACATGCCTTTTGGCTGGGAACAATGCCAGTTGTCTGTTCTTGTGCCCATTTAATAATTTTTGCCGGTTGACAGAGAAAAGATGCCTATGTCCCTGAAGAGCATTCCTGTGGGACTATGCCTTGGGAGCACAAGAGTGAAAAAGAGCAAGATCAAATTCTGTTAGAGTACCTTTTCTTAAAAATGGCTAAGATAGGAATCAAAAAATTATATTATCTGCATTCTACTGGATATATTTAAAACAGTTGTATAACGGTTTTATTTTTAAATGATTAAATATATTCTATGCTATTTTTGTATATGAAACTTATTAAACTTAGATAAAACAATTTTGGTCTTAAAATAAAAATACATGAAGAGGTATTTTGTTTTGCACTGCTTCTTCCACCAGTAAATTTATCTGTTCATATGAAATATGCCATGATAATCCAAAAGAAGGCAAAAGATTGTTGATTACACTGAAGCAAGGTGGGAGTAGCAACTCATTATAGATGGGCTATGAAAATAACATAGCTGCTTCACTACTGTTTCATTGGAAACACAAGAAGAAATGGCTCATTCTGAAGCAAGAATGGTTTGAAGTGGATGTGATGAATTTTATTCTGTTTACTGTAAGCTTCAAACACTGAGATGAGTCTCAAGAATCCATTGTACTTTGTCATTATTTTTTCAAGATATAAAACCTGTCCAAAAATCTCACGCTATTTTTTCAAATTACTCCTTCATCTACTTCCTTCTAATAAACACGTTCAGTTGTGATATGTTAACCTTCATGAGACCTTTCTAAATCTCAAATTGGAAAACATGGATATTTCATGAAAATGATACCTTGTTTCCTATCTGAGAATGAGCTTCTATTTTTCCTTCTTTAGTACCAGTTGCAGAAATGTTAACTCTACAAAAATAATATGTCTTTGCCTTTTCCAGCTTTGACTAAAAAATAACATTCTTTTTTGCTGCTTGTGTTATGAATGCTACAGTGGATTTTAGCGAGTTTCAAATGTTATATTTCATATTGATATTAAGACCTGCCTTAAGCAAAGGTGATTACAAATTAATAATGGTGCAATTAAACCAACTTTATATAGGTGCCTTAAGTGGGTATGTGTTTGTGTGTGTGTCATCCCAAAACATTTATTTATAGGTATGGTGGTGCATGCCTGTAATCCCAACACTTGGGAGGCTGAAGTGGGAGGATCACTGAAAATTTGAGGCCAGACTGGGGTACATAGTGAGTTCAAAGCCAGCCTGGATTACATAGTGAGACCCTGTCTCAAGAAACAAACAAAATATTTATTATCAATTATTTTCTACTTTGGGTGAGGAACTATTACCTTTATTGTCAAAATATTGATGAGAGAGAAAGGGAGAAAGAGAGTGACTGCATACATCAAAAATTTCTTAAAGCTAGCACACAATATTTTCTAGACTGGATCTTTCTTTTTTTTTTTTTTTTTTTTTTTTTTTTTTTTTCAGAACTCAGGTCCTTGTGCTTGCGAGGCAGGTGCCAAAACCACTGAGCTAAATCCCTGGCCCCTAATATCTTTTAATAGTAGGAATAATTGGATACTCTAAATGACTGACAGTTTTATAATTTTCTTTGTAAGATCTGTCTCTGTGGCTTACTTCTATAATGTACTATAGTAGTAGAAATTTGATGGATGTTTATTGATTTATTACAGTAAAAACTAGGAATGATTAAGGCAAAATTTATTGTGTTATGTTTTATCAAAAAGCAAAAATTTACAGTATCAATAAAAATTATGAAATGCCTGGGAATAACTTTTATAGAGAATGGATAGAACCTATGTGAAGTAATTTCTCATAAAGCTTCACCAAGTGATGTAAAAGAGGATCCCAGATAGGAAATCTAAGCACACTACAAATATCATTTCCTGTCAAATTTTTGTAGACATTTATCCTTTTATTAGTGAGTCTTTTCTTAATCCTATCAATAGGATACTTTAATAAAAAGTCAAATTTTTTTGGTAGATAATTTGAGGAAATTCTTCTAAAACTCATCCAGAATTGTAAGGAGAAAAGAATACCAACAAATTTTAAAACATTAAGTCTCTAATGAGGAATTTTCCTTTCTAGACATTAAAACATACTAGAATTCTATAAAAATTAATATTAAAATTTTATGTAATCAAATGAGCATTCAAACTAATGAAGTCAATCTTTAGATACAACATTCAAAATAGCTTCTTATTTTAGACAAAACAACAAAATAAATTTCAGAACCATTGAAAAATTAAAAATGGAAACATAAAACAAAAAGTATTTGAATGATTTGCAAATATACCAAGACAAAGTATAAAAACATTGATATTTTCACAGAAAAAGAGATCACAGATATCCATACAAAATTTTGCAATGTCTGTATGCTTAAATAATCCTTACAAATTAAAACAATCCAGAAAAAAATGTTTGTAACAGCAAATCAGACAGCTATATGTCTAATAATCTGGACCCTCTGAAAATAGTGCCAGAGACCAAGATGCCACTAAGCAGTTTATCTGGGAATGTAATCCAGGCAACTGTGTAGAGATGAGCAATGAAACAGGGATGGAGAAGAAACCAGTACAGGATGATGCTAGCATTGTAAGTTGCTGGTGCTCAGTCTCCCTTGTAACTTCTCAGAAATGTCCAACCTAAAGGGTGACTGTGGAACATTTATTTTAGTATTTGAAGGATGACATTGGTCCCATGGTCTTTATCCTTAATTTCTAGTTTGCTAAAGTATTAACAATCAACTGAATATTCTGGATTTGTTGCTAGT